TGATCGTTAACTCTGGGCAAAACTGCTAGTGCTTGCTCCTGGTGGAAACTTTTCATTACTGTCGCTTAATTGTGGGTTAAATCAAAGTTTATCAGAAGAGATATAATGTGTGGCAGTTGCTATACTTGCTGTGCTTCTCCTTCTGACCGAAAGTACTTATGGTGAAAGATGTCCTACTTCTCCTGGGCCAAAAGTTTATGACGGAAGGGTTAGTATCACCTTACGAGAATGGAAAAATGGAGTTGAACGAAGAGTAGTAACCATGGAGTTGATATCTGCTTAGTGTCTTGAATCTGCAGACACTTGCACGCACTCAGGTTTTGGAAAAGGTCAAAAAGAGGGCTGAGACTGAAGAGCTTAGAGATTTATGTTGTTTCTTTTAAGGAAAAAATCTTTAAATCCTCTGCACTTGATACTTGCAATGACGTAAATTGGGCATATTCTGCACACTATCAGAACACACAACATTGCAGGCAGAACTCTCCAGACAGAGGCTGAGACAGAGTGTGGAAAGCAGGACGTTTCTCAGGGATTGACACCTGGCAGAGGAAGGTTGAAGAAGCAGAGTTAGGCAGAGGGAGAAGTAGAACTGCGGTGCAGCCGGAGGAGCGTCAAGAACCCAGTAAGGAGCCCTGGGAGCGAGCATTGTCCCAGAGTTGCCCTGCTTAGGCTGAAACGTTCTCCCTGGATCACTGCAGTCTCTAATGGGGCTGCCACAAGAAGGGCGTGACCTTGAGGAAGGAGGCTGCCTGCGCTGAGGCTGTCCCTGCAGGTGCTGGTGGCTGGAGGCCCTTGTGGACTCCACTCCCCACTGGGCCAAGTCCTTCCTCACAGGGGTCGGGGCGGCCACTTCCTCATCTACCACACAGACCCATCAGAGCTATTCCTCCCAACTCCCGTGAGTTTATTAATATGCAAATCTGGCATTGGTATAAGTAGCAAAATCACATTTAGTTATACATTGGATGAATTTCCTTTATAGAAAAGAATAATTTTACATTCAAAGAAATACACAATTTACATTTTGTAACATTTCAATATTTTAAGTCAGTACTTGCCCCAGAAGTTCCACAGTATATGTTTGCTGTATGCTTTCCTTACTTATTCAAATGGCTTTAATGAAATTCAGTTATTAGCATACTGTGTGCAAGGGCTGTTATTAATTACAGATAAAACTTCACGGAAAAGTCTCTTCCCTGAGTTCCACTATCTGGAATTGACACTAATCCAAAAATTGACTTGCTCTGCATAAATAAGTGATCGTGAGGAAATGTTCAAGAAAATGACTTTCTGCAGAGCACTAAAGCCCTGAGCTGACAAAAGACAGGTCTGTAAGTAGCATTATAAGAAAACATAAATTTACCCCAGAATGTCATAGGAATGCCTTAGTATTAAGTGTAGTGTTAATAGCTATTTTTAATCTAGTATTTCCCAAAAATTATAGTCAAAGAACTTCGGTGACCAGGTCAATCATTTGATTCACTTGCTAGGGAATATACTATGAGACACTCCCTGTTTGTCATTATTAAATTCATGTGTATACTGGGATCTATTTTTAGAGACTGTCATCCGCTCCACTGACCTAGGTGTCTATCCTTGTACCAACACCATAACTAATATGAGTAACGTGTCAGGTTGTCCCTCACTGTTGTTATTTTTCACATTCTTCTTAGCTATTTTGTTTCATACCCCCCAAAATTTTCCTTTTATTTAATTTCCCCTAAAAACTTAGGTGGGATTCTAATTAGAATTGTATTAAATTTATATATTAATTTTAATAGAATTTACTTCTTATATTAACTTTCCATCTGAGAACATTATATGTCTTTCCATTTATGTAGATTTTGTTTCATGAGTACATTCCTATACTTTTCTGGAGAAGGGTTAAATTTATTCTTAAATATTCTATGTTTTAGAGCTACTGTGAATGAAATCTTTTCCACTTCCACTTTTGAGTGCTTACCTATATAGCAGTAAAAGCTATTAATTTTTTAATATTTACACTATATCCAATCACTAGATCAAGCTTTCTGTGCCAATTTTTGTATCAATTTATACCAGTTATTTCAGTTTTTCATTATTTTACTACATCTATTATAACCTCCAAGGCAATGTTACACAATAATGGCAAGAAAAAGCATCCCTATCTAATCCCTGATTTTAATTGAATTTTTTTTTACTTACCTTTAAGGATAATATTGTTACTGGTATATTATCTCTTGACAAATTGCTGGATTTTATTCACTAGTATTTTACTTAGAATTTTGCTATCTATATTCATAAGCAGGGCTCTTCTACAATTTTTTTGTACTATCTGTGTTGGGTTTTGATATTAAAATGTTACTTGGTTTATAAGATGAATTAGGGAGAATTTACATTTATATATGCCAGGGAGAGTTTAAATAACATTGCCATTATCTTAATGATTATATAAAATTCATCTGTAAATTCATTTGCTCCTGGTGTGTTGTTCAGTGATACAGTTTTAATCTTTTCCATTTTCTTCCTTTTTTTTACTAGTTAATGGTTAATTTTATATTACGTGACTCATATCACAATAAAAAAGTAATGATGTAATAATGGTAAAACAGGTAGCAAAGATCACTCTTCCTTAATAAGTTGTCTTATTGTTTACATTGGCATATTATCACTTTGACCCTTCTATATTTTCATCCTCTCATTTTTTCACTTTAAATGTTTCTCTGTGGGTTTTTTCCTAATCCAATCTGCTAGTGGTTATTTTTAAGTGGTAGAATTAATTTCATTAACATTTCTTATAATTATTAAAAATTTTTGTATTTTACTTCATGCCCATTATATTTCACACATATAATATATAGTTTAAATTACATAAATATACAGAAAAAGCATCCCTATCTAATCTCTAATTTCAATTGAATTTTTTTTACTTACCTTTAGGAATAATATTAGTTACTGGTATATATTGTGTATTTTATACCATGGTTTCCATTTTTTTTCCTTTTCATTATTTTTGATGGTTTTTTCCAGCTATGAGCAATATCATTTCTTCTCTTGTTAATTTGGAAGTCAAACTGTACCACTAGTTGTTCATCTCCATTTACCTCCTCTAACAAACAGACACATATTTCTCTACCACTATTTGAAAACAAGATATCAAATATTTCCCTCACAAACATTTGCTCTTCCCTGGCCTCCTGCTCTGTCTGTCCCCATGTTTCCACCCAGTGCCCCAGGAAGATAGTACTTAGGTAACTCTTCTCGTCCACGCCTCCAGCAGTCCCCAGCCTTTAAGTTTTTAAATTTGCTGTGTGTTGTAGTTCTAGGCTCTTAATTGAATTTCCCCTGCATTATGACTTTTTATGATTTATATTACACACTCCCAAACAGCCTGCCCTTATCCATCTAGGCTTCCCTTCCTCTTCACCTTTCTTATCTGAGTTGGCTTTTGTTTGATTTTTTTCCTCAGGTGGGGTGGTCTTAGCCCGGGTGGGAAGTTTGCTCCACTCGCAGGGTCTCCATTGCCCTGTTTTGTCTCAGTGACCGGAGATGCTCGTCTCCTGCCCTCTCGTGTCCACAATGGCAGCTGAGAATTTTGATGCCAAATTGATTTCTTTTCCTTCATAGAAAACTTAATTGTTCAGCCTAGTACCTTGTAAGATAGTCCCTTTTTCCTTGGAGTTCAAAAGTGGTATCAGCGCTGGCACAGTGGCTCACACCTATAATTACAGCACTTTGGGAGGGCGAGGCAGGAGGATTGCTTGAGGCCAGGAGTTTGAGACCAGCCTCTTGGTCTATATCAGTTTCCCAGGGCTGCCCTAACGAAGTACCATGCACTGGCTGGCTTGAAACAACAGAAAGTTATTCTGTCACAGTTCTGGATTCTAGAAGTCTGAAATCAAAGTGTCGGCAGGGTCATGCTTCTTCTGAAGGCTCTAAGTAACAATTCTTCCTTGCCTCTTCCTGGCTTGTGGTAGTTAGCAGCAATCGTTGGTGCTCCTTGGCTTGTAGATACATCACTTCAACCTCTGCCTCCATCCTTACGTGGCCATCTTTCCTCCACGTGCCTGTCTTCAAATCTTCCTCTCCTTGTAAGGACACCAGCGATTAGATTTCGGGGCTACCTAATCCAGTGTGACCTCATCTTAACATGATTGCATTTACAAAGATCCCGCTTTCAAATAACATCACACTGGGGACACAGTTCAACCCACACATGTCCCCTTGAAGGCTTTTTGATTTGTCAGCTCGCTGGACTTCAGCTTAGTTATTGGAGTATCCTAAGAGGCATCAGCCACAGAACATAGAAGGCAAAATGATCCTAATTCACCACCCCCTGCCCCAGCAGAGTAGAAGCAGGAAGGCTGCCAGGACCCCACGGAGGGAAGTGGGTGAAGCCTTCCAGCCTTACAGCTCTCCTGACTCCTCACACTCGCCCAGCCTCAGGGGCAGGAAGGCACTCCTGACTGCTATTCACACCAGTGCCAGACTTTCTCTCCACGCCCCAGCCCCACCCCAAGGGCCAAGCTCTCCTTAAGACTCGCAGGGCTTTGGGTGCTGATCTCCAGGTGTTCCCCCAGCTAAGGGCGAGAGAACCGCTCTGCCACAGAGCCCAAGGCCCAAGTGGCACCCAGCTCCCCCCATAGGTCCAGCAGTTTCCCAGCTCAACAGGAGCAGAAAGATGGGAGCTGGGAAGGGGAAGGGAAGGGGCCTCACAGACAAAAGGCTGAGAACAAAAGGTCCAGAACACAGAGCCCAAGCTCTCAGGGTCCTAAAAGTGCCCACTGTCAGTCCACCTGCTTGTGTTCCATCTTTGGATTTCGAAAAACTCGAAACAGAAGGCAGCACCCCGGGGACATCAAAGTAGTGGCCAGTACTTTTCCACTTACATCAGTGAGCAGGATGTTACAGTTTTTTTCCCAGAAATAAAGTTTGTTTGAATCGTTGGGGAAGGCAGTGTCCTGTCTAATATTAACTCTTCCATTGGGTAACAGGTTTTTTTATGGAGATCATAAGACCTTTACTAAAACAAACATACAAGCACCTGGGTCAATATATGTGGAATTTCTCTCGCCTACTAGAAAACAATCATTTAAAAGTGAAGACATTTAATCTTCCCTTTTTATTAAAGAAGAAAAAAAGAAACGGGGAAAAAAAGCAGTAGTTGCCTTTTTCCATTGTCTTGAATAAGAATTGAGAGTCAGAAAGACTTGGCAGAGACTACATCCCACGCTCTCGCTGTGGGCAAGCCTTCGTCCACTCTGAAGCAAGCTGTTTTCAAACTGAGCTCCCCAGAGGACTGGGCTGTCTCAAAAGAGGGAAAGCCAGAGGACTTCGGGTCTCTACCCCAGTCCCCTCTGCTAGAGCAGCAATTTATTTTGTTTCATTTGTTTACACCTGACAGGATTTCATTCCAAGTTTTCCCTGGCTCAAACAAGATTGAAAAACACTTCTCTAAAGCCATTCCCGGTCAATTTTCAGTTTCCCAGCAATGAATGCATTTGCTTCCCTAATCCGTAGTACTTTTATATTTCCAAATCTAATACCATAACCCAACTTTAGCACTCTAAAACTGGTCTCGTACTTTCAATGCTTGTGTTTTATGTTGACACTGAAGGATTTATTCCAATAACTATTTTGAAACGTCATGATTCATGCTTTGTACCATCCTTGGCAGCATCGTGTTACTATGGATGGTAACCGTGTGCTCTCTGTGTTTACTAGCTGCCCTCTTTTATTTTTTTAATTTTTTTTCATTTTTTAGAAATTTCAGAATATTACATTGATATGAATGTTTTGGCTACATGAATTGCTTTTGTACAGTTTGAGTCAAAGTTATAAATGTGCTCATCACCAAATAATGTGCATCGTACCCATTAGGTGTGTGTGATTTTATTGATCCCCTCCTCCCCGCAACCTGCTTGATTTCCAAGGAGTTTTACTGCCATATGCGCACATGAGTGTTGACCAATTAGTTCCAATTTAATAGTGAGTACATGAGGTGTTTGTCCATTCTTGCTATACTTCACTTAGGACAATGGTCTCCAGTTCCATCCAGGTTGTCACAAAAGGTATTAGTTCACCTTTTTTCTTACATGTGAGTAGTACTCCATGGTATACATACACCACATTTTATTAATCCACTCATGTATTGATGGACACTTAGGTTGGTTCCACATCTTTGCAATTGTGAATTGTGCTGCTATAAACATTCCAGTGCTAGCTGCCCTCTTTTAAAGGGAAGAGTGAGACGGTGAACAGATCGTGGACCCTTGGAAACAACCCCTGTGCTGTTTTCCCCTGAACGGAAGCTGGCATAAGAAGAGCCTGTGTCTTCTCAGGCTCCTTTCTCCTCCCCACTGGTCCCCCTCCACTCCTAATTCTCGTGGAATCAACTCCTACTCATCTTTCAGGCCTAAAGTCCCTTCCTCGGGGAGGTCTTTTCTGATCCCTTTTCTTGTCCCTAATATAAGGCTAATTTCTCTATTCTATGCCTGTCAGAAGCATAAATGTTTAATTGCATGTTAATTGTCTTACTAAACCTTAAATGCCTCAGAGAAAGAAAACTCATAGATGTCATTTTCCACTGTACTCTACCACTTAGCATAGAGCCTGGTGCAAGGCAGGGGCTCAATTACTACTAGTTGAATGAATGAATGAATCACTGTCTCCTTCATTTAAAGTATTTTAGGTAATCAGTCAAGCATTGATTAACCCCTGCAGTGAATAAGTGGTCATTTATGCTGAACATTGGGGGGATACAACCAGCTATTCTAAACTTTAGGGTCTTATTACCTAATTGGAAAAATGAGACACAAACACTGAAAAGATAATCAACTCATTAATGGCAGATAAGAAACTAGCTTCCTGGTTCCTGGTTTAATAAACAAAAAGTAAAGAAACAATAGACTGGATCTGCAGGTGCTTTTGGAATGCAGGGAGAGGAGAGGAGGGAGGTTGGGAGCTGCTTTCCGAGGAGAAAGAGGGAGGGAGGGAAGGCGATCTCAGTGGGAAGGGGCAGGTCGTTACCACTGCAGGGCGGGAGGGCCTTCTCCAGCCGTTGGACACTCACTCACTGGGCTTTACTCTCTGGGAGGTACCATTCTAGGCCTTGGGATACCGGGGTAAACTGAAAGCAATGTCCCTGCCCTCCTAGAGTTCATATTCTAGCAGAGAAAGCAAATAAAAAGAGAAGCAAGTATCCGTGTCAGGTAGGAATGGATGCTGTGGAGAATATGAAACAGGCTGGTGGGACAGAAGGTGACGAGGTGCCACATAAGACTGGGGGATCAGGAAAGAGCTCGGACCCAAATAACAGGAGGGCACCAGGCCCCAGACAGGAAAGAATTTAGCATATTCGAGAAGCAGAAGGGGAGAACGTGGTTGAAGACACTCAGAGGGGTGGGCGGGCCTCCACGGCACGCACAGGGTGGAAGGCCATTGGAAAGTTATGGGTAAAGAAAAGTCAGGTTTAAAGGTTTAAGCAGAAGGACAGTGAGAAGAGTAGTTTGGCTGCAGCGGGAGATTTTTTTTTAATTGAAAAGCAAGAAAGAGGAGAGAACAAGAATAGCCTGTAAAAGGCTTTGCTTATTGTGCTCAGGAGTCTGGACCCCGTGTTCCAGGCCTCAGGGAGCCACTGGGGGCTTTTGCACAGGACTACTGTGATCAAAAAGTCCTGATATCTTCAGGAGTGATATGATCAAAAGGTGACCTGAGGGCCTACCTAATTCACAGCATGATCTTTCCAACTGCCCCCTCACGAACCTGTTGTAGATTTATTTAGCAACCTTTCAACACGTGTGAAACACCCACCTGCACACTCAAACACACGGGCACGTGCATAAACACTCCTCTCCACTGGTGCATAAAAACTGGGGTGCCTGGGGGCCTAGGCATTGAATTGTCGAGAAATTTGGGTACCGGAACTCCTTTTGATCAGGAGTAGCTCTGTGGTAAAAAGGGTTCTGAAGCCACATTCAGACCAAGTGAGAAAGAAGATCTTCCTCAATTAGCCAAGTCAGGAGGGTGCCAGGGACTCGCTGTTTCTGGCCTGACGCACCACTGCAGAGCGAGTGCCCCTCATAAGACAAAGGGTTGACTGTAATGACGATGCCAGGGCTCCACGAACTCGTGGAGGAAGCACTGGGGAGCAGAGAGGCCTTGCCTCATCTCTGAAACCAAACACGAAAGCAGCTCCCTGCTTCACCCATACCTGAAGCCAAGTCCGGGGCACTACTTCAGCCAAAGAATAAGAACTGTTTGGTCTTATCTGCAAATATCTAATCGGAGGTGTTCGGAAAGGACAAACATGATATTTTTCTTTTTATCAAGGATTCCGTCTATATACTTTCCAGGTGCTACAAACCAGGAGATTGGGTTTTAGTTCCTGCTTTGCCACTTACTTCTGAGTGACTCTGAGCTTCTGATCTCACCTCCCTGGGCCTCAGTCTATTTATCTGCACAGTGGTTGCCTCAACTGGATCA